GCAACAATATGATTGGAGGGTGTTAAGCTCCTCAAGTGAAAATTTTTTATGTGCCCACAAATTTAAAGTTTTTAAAACTTGCAATTCAATATCTCGAGTTATGCAAACTTGGAGGTATTTAAGTGAAATATAATATTCTTTTTGAGAACATGGTGAAATAGAATATTTATTTGCAAAGATAAATTATTTTCGAGACTAGATAAGTACAGATTATATATGAATAAGGCTCCCTCTTTTACCATTTTCACGATAGACGTCCACCTTTTCCTCCCCCCGAAATTACATGCGCAGCAAATTGGATGCGGACCCGACCCGCTTCACACTCATACTAGATCCGCTCCGCATCTCCCTCTCGCCTCTTTCTTCCCTCCGCCCCCGCCTCCCTCGGCGCACGTTAGCCATGCTCCCGCGGTCTCGAAAGCCGTTATTCTCCCCTATCTCCCACCTCTTCCACTATCGTACGCACCCTCTCTCCACAAAGCTAGGGTTAGGTTAGGGCGGCGGTTTCATCCTCCCCTTGCAAGGACGCCGACGCCCTCTCCACCTCCTGATCACCCACCACAACCCTACCACCCCCTCGAGTCCTCCTCCAGCTGCCGGAACCCTAACCCTGACCCCCCCTCCTCACCCTCCAAACCCTATCCGCCTCAAACACACTCAAGATCGCCCTCTCCTTCTTCCTCTTCGCCCGCGACTCCCTAACCCCAACCCTACCCCACCGCCGACGCCTACGACCTCATGGTCGACATCATGGGCAGAGTTCGGAGTTTCGATGTCGTGTGGCAGCTGTCTCGGAGAGGGACCAGGAGGGTCCCGCGACGGCGAGACGTTCGGGATTCTGATGAGGAGGTACGTCGCGGCGGGTTCACGAGGCTGGCGATTAGGGCGTTTGATGATATGGAGGGGTTTATCTGGAGGAGAGCGGGGCGGAGGAGTTCAAGATGTTGCTTGATACTCTCTGCAAGTATGGGTACCCCAAGGTCTAATCTTGTTTGTGGAATTTTTTTTTTTTTTGCAAAAGTTGGAACCCTTTTGTGTTTAGTTGAGCTAGGTGATGGGTTACAGGGATAAATATACATATTTGAAATGTCAGGATCGATATACATATAGATCAAAATTTGATGATCCAAATGTCTAATCTTAGCTTTCCATATGCGCTGATTTGGGGAATTATATAATAAAACCTTTGGTTATATGGGCTATTATAGTCTTGTCTATTTTGCTATATATATATTATAAATATATATATGAGAAAAAATGAGTATGCTTGGTAATTGCTCCACTCATTGAAATTGGGTCCACACTCACATAGGTTGAGGAGTTTTGGGGAATGACAATGAGTGATGAAAACGTGCACCTAAGTACCAAGCACCAAATTTGTGCTTGGTAGCCAAGCATACCCATTTCTCTCTCTCTCTCTCTCTCTATATATATATATATATATTATATATAATAGAGAGAGAAGAGAGAGAGAGAGAGAAGAAATGAGTATACCTTGTACCAAGCAGCACAAATTTTGTGCTTGTAGTGAGGTGTGGCCTCCATTCACTAGTCCACCTCATTCAATTGAGGGGGACCACATTAACCCCATGTGAATGTAGTCCCCCCATTTGAATGAGTGGAGGATAATATCGCACCTCACTACCAAGCACAAATTTTATGCTTGGTCACAAGCATACCCATATTCCTCATAATATTATATATATATATATATATATATATATATATATATATATATATATATATATAATATAGTATATGTGTGTGTGTGTGTGTGTGTGTGTGTGTTGTGTGTGTGTGTGTGTGTTCTCTTATCATCTATATCCGTATCAAGCTTTGGCAGATATGGTTATGACTTTTTTTGTCCGAGACATATATTCATTTCTAATAGTTACTATATAAGGAAAACTCACCAGGCTGCTAACAATGTTTTTAGCTGTCATATTTAATCTAGATTACAAGAGAATGACTATGTGAAGGAGAGCTCAAAATTGTGGCATCTACTTCATTTTAAGAACGAAGTTGGTCAATTCAATAATTTCTGCATGAAATCGATGATAAGTGAGGTGGTTGAGTTGTTTTCCCCCCTTCTATCATTTTCTAAAGTATTTGTGTGTTTGTTGACTTGATATATGAGCTAGAGCTGAATTGTTGGTTTTCCCCCCTTAAACGCTGAGAAACAAATTAGCTATCAGAAGCTACTAGCTAGTAGGTTTATATTTGTTTTGTGTTTGGTTGAAAATTTAGCATGTCATAGGGAGTTGAAGAAGCTTATAAGTTGCATTTCACTGTTATTGTGATTCTAGGTTTAATCATCTAAATTTGAAACTCATGCATTTCTTTGGCTTATCGATGATTAGCTTAATTCAGATAGGCTTCTGCGCTCGCATGCATTTGGATGCTAAGTGTGAAAGTTCTTGCATGTTTTGGGCAAATTTTGTTGGCTTTAGCTGCTGCAGCTTAAATCCAGATTGTATTGCTTGTAATTAGAACTTGTTCTTTTCTCTTTCCTGTGGCATATACCCTTCGAATTCTCAGGCTGACATATTATTGTTCTTATGTTATGCTATTTAAAGACATTAAATATTGATCTGTTTCAATTTAATACTATTTTTATTGTCTTTTGTGCTATTTATTCATGTTTAGCTTGTTTCCTATCCTTTCTCTCTGATCTTGGTTGGAAATGATATGAGAGTGGTTAACCTACTGGATTAAACAACCCTCAATAGAACTGAATTATGAATATAATAGACCTAAAAAATTTGGGACGAAAGAACTTATTGTTCTTGTTATACTCGTTAAGTTCTCTCTCGGTTATATTTTCTAGCTATGCTTTCATTTTCTTTGAATTCTCCATATTGATCTCTGTCCCTGACATCCTTACAATTATTGCAGGTTGCCACAGAGATATTTAACAAGAGAAAGAATAAATTTGAACCTGACGAAAAGACATACACCATTTTGATCTATGGATGGTGTAAAGTGAATCGACCTGAAATGGCCCAGAAATTCTTCAAGGAGATGATTGATCGTGGTCTGGAACCAAATGTTGTAACATATAATGTGCTTTTGAATGGGATCTGTAGGCGAGCCAGCTTGCATCCAGACACCCGATTCGATAGAACAATCCATGCTGCAGAAAATCTTTTATACGAGATGCATACCAAAGGGATCGAGCCTGATGTCACGAGCTATTCTATCATTCTCCATGTCTATAGCCGAGCTCATAAGCCAGAACTCACACTTACCACATTTAACTCAATGAAGGAGAG